GGCGAATTCACCAATGAACGCTGCCCTTTCCATCTGACACTGGGCGATCACGTGAACATTACGCTTCGGTTTTGTTTTGTTTTACTCTATCTTGGATTTGGATAGACTTTAGTCAATAAACATTATAACGTTTTTCTGAATTATTATTCCGTTTGCTTGAAGGTGACAATGTTTCATGATGAATTTCTCTAGTTCGGACTTCCATTGTCTAATATTATATAAAATGATTTGAAATCCCTGAAAGAACTAAAAAAGGAAGAATTAAAAATTAAAGAAGAATAATAAAAATGAATAGCTGAAAAACAATTATATCAAGCAAATGAAACTGAAATGAAATAATAGTGAAATAAAATACAAGTAAAAATGAAACAAATTGTACAAAAAATCAAATCAAAATTAAAAAAGTTAAGAGATTCCAAGCCAAGTTAATTCACGACGTTTCGATTGTTAGTATCCACAATCGTCTTCGGGTAATGACTGGACCCATTCCTGCACGTCGTCTTGATGTCAAACAGGTTGGAGCCTGGCTCCCTTTCCCTTTGGACTGATGTACTGGACCCATTCCTCCGTGAGCTGACTATTTATAGGTCATTTGAGTACTTTCACTTATCTCTGCTTCCCTTTTTCCGCTTCACTGGTTTAGTGGGAGATGACCGTTTGGCGGAAGTTGGCCATTTTTCTCTTAATTATGGGTTCCCATATGTTGTGTATCTCTACGCTAGCTTGGCTGAATACGTTGTTGGACAGCATGTATGCGGCTTCCTTGAGATCTCTCCCAAACCAATGTTTAGGAGATCTGTGTATGATCTCAGCTTTGGACCATTCGATGTAATGTTGATAGGTCTAAACATGCTCTGCTATTCGTGATTTGCTGGTTTCCCCTCGCTGGGTGTGTTTCTTGTACTCGGCAATGCGAACATTCAATGGCCTCTCAGTTTCACCGATATAGGATTTTCCGCACTCACAAGGTCTCCGATAAATGCAATTATTGGAATCGCAGTTCGCGTTTGGTGGCCTGGTTTTCGTGAGGATAGTGTTTCCGGATCTGAAGCAGATTCTGATGTTGTACTTGGAACCAATTCTTCTTATCCTCTCTGATAACCCTCTGATGTAGGAAAGTGCAACAATTGGTTGTGACAACAGGAGCACCTTTCGGGGCTCCTGCTGTCTTTTAGCCAAAGTCTGTTCCACCATCGCTTTAGAGTAGCCATTTTGTTGAGGATCATTTTTGATGATGTCTAGTTCCTTCTAAAGACCTTCCTTCGTATTTCAAAGTCTGAAAGCACGGTCTAATAGAGTTTTGATGATTCCTCTTCTAGTCGATTGATGGTGGTTGAATTCGTGGTTCAGATACTGTCCGTGTGAGTGGGTTTTTGGTATACAGATGTTTCCCACTTGGTCGGTCGGTAGCCAAGCGGTTCGACGTGGGTGCTTTGTTCACTCACTCGAATTGACTGCCGTGTTGGTCGGTGGTTCAAGCCCTAGTCTGAATGATTGATTTTCACTTGCTATCGTGCAACCCGTGTTAAACAGTGTCGGTCCTCTTCACCAATACGTCCAAGAATGGTAATTCGTTGTGGACTTAATATAATCGTTTTTTCAGCTATTCATATTTATTCT